TAAACATTTTGTCAATTCTTTTATCAGGAAAACAAAGCCCTTTTGCCAAGGCTGTGTAAAAGGACCTATTGCTCACAGCCTTCAAGAAGCAAAAATAAATGCTCTTCCCTTAAGAGCAAAAATTCAGCTGTGCAAACACATCCCCTACTCTCTGCATAGTTTTGACTCTGAAGATAGAAGTTTTATATGCTCCATTAAAGTTGTTATTATTTCTGTTGACTTTTTTTTATCCAAAGAAGGATGCATAAATATTGTGACATGCAATTCTTAAATCACAGGTGACTTAGAAATCTATTGGGATGGGCACTCTTGCAGAAAGTCTTTCTGAGACGAGGAGAAAAGACTTTGGCACCAGATTTAAATTTTATTCTTGTTTCCGTGGGAAATAAATTTTGTTATATACCCCTACTTGTGGGCTATGACATTTCAACTCAAAAACCAGATAATTCTTTCAGTCTCTTTCTGGAAAGAGATTACAAGGCTTATCAAATGCTATAATAATGGAAGCTCCCTTAGATGGATCTTGGAAAGCATTCCAGCTTTACTCCCAAGCGGAATTATCTTCCTTGTATATCAGACTAAACATAAGGGGACTACACCTTCTTGACCAGGTGCAGAACTGTGCTACAAATATGTCTTAATTAAATCTGGATACTGACTCCTCTCGACAGACCTGCACAATCCTGTCTCTCTTTTTTCCTCTGTACTGCGTGTGGTAACCCCAGTCTCAGGAATGTTGACAGAATTATTGAGATATTGATCAAAGCTAGGATATTTGATACTTGTTTTACAAGTGTAGAATCAGGTACCAATCTGCATTGCAGCAGCGCTGGAGAGGCTATTGACTTGCTTCCTGCCCCATAGAACTTAACAACGTAGTAACAGCACTAATGACATTTGGATCTGAAAACATGAGTGTAGGGGGGAGAGGTATGGCTAATAACCATATCTTTGCCTGCTGTCCATTGTTTCAATTAACAGGGCCAAGCGAACTCTCTTTTATTCCTATAAAATCCAAATGACTGTGTAGGTGGTGATCAGGGATTAAGGACATATAATGAACAAATATCCCAATTTCTTCCATTGTGGATTGTGACCAGTTTGCTTAATGAGAATGATTGATAACAACTTTCTAAATTCTGAAAAATTCTTTCACG